AAAGGGGAAAAGCACTGTTATGTCACCAAATTAATCACACTGCACTTTATAGGTAAAAAAAAAATGCAATTAAATTTCTTTAATACTTTCATGTTTCTGTTTTGCATCACTTGCACTGCAATACATCTTTTCGCAGTGYACATATCTGTGCCCTTATCAGCTTTTGAGGTCACATTTCCCACTTACTTGAAATACACAGTTACATGCAAGAATCCATAAGCTACTTTGGCAGAATCTTACCGACTTGACACTTTTTGCGCCTTAAATACTCCTGCATTTTGGTTTCTTGTGATGATGTCACGTACATCTGTAGCATACTTGTTAAGGATTAGCTAAAAAATAGAGCAGTAATGAAAAAAAATCAAGAATATATTTTCCATTGTTAATACCTCCATAGTGTCTTTTATCTGTGTGGTCTGCTTTAATCTGTGCTAATAGTCCGCCTTTTCAGAAGTATAGATTTTACAGTGCTACTCCGGCACATCAGCCATAAATCTAGCCAGCAACTTGCTATTGTTGCCTACCTGTATTGACTGCTCCTTCATTAATGCACCCATTTAAGGAAGGGGGAGGAAGCTGCAAAAGGTTTCCCATATCTGACGCCCATTTAAAGGCAAGTATCTTTGCAAACATATGAATTAGAAGGGTGGGGAATAGCAATTTGTTAGGGTGGTCTTTTAATGAGCAGCTTAGTTTGCGCTGCTTTTGGCTGTGCCTCTAGATCCCAGTGGTGAGGATTCAGRGGCTGCAAGGTTTGGAGTTCTGTCCTGGTCACAGTACATGCACTCTTGCTCTTGGCTCCGACTGTCAGGATAAAATCCAACATACAAAAGTAGCACTTTCACCTGCAGCCAGGAGAGTTTTATTTTGTTTGTCTTCCTGAGAATGGCTTGGAGGTCCTCTCTACCATAACAGATAAGTAGAAAGCAAAAAAACATAATTTCCTCCCAAAAAGTAATGTAACAGCATTGCTTTGTCTCGTGTCTCAGGCCTCCTCCAGTCTGGAAGATCAGGCCCCAGATTTGGGTCAGGCAGACCCAAACCAAGGATTGCAAATGAAGTTATCTATATCTGAAAGATAATCTCTACAATCAATCATTTGTGGTTACTCAGAAGCCTTTGGAAAGACCAAGCGCAGTGATTCTCTGAGACCTGAATGACAGACAACTTGAATTCATACGTATCCCCAAAAACTCACTCTTAAGTATATAAATAGCGGTAAGTGTAGATGCTGCAGTTTGTTTTACTACTACTACTATTATAAGATCGATCTCTGAAAAGAGATATTTCCTCTAAAATAAATCCTCATTCTGATCACAGTTCTAAAATCAGGAAGAGATTCAGACACAAAGGTGTTACACTAGTAATACTGAGTCATACGGGCACAGTTTTGAAAAGTCAGTCAATGACTGCTCCTTCTTTTTTAAGGCACAGGAAATCTGGTGGTAATTAGTAGCACATTGGCCTCTTGAAAGTTAAATTCTTCTTTGCAGATGTTCTTATGAAAAAATTGAATAGTGTAATGTCAGGCTCATTTAAACAATGACTAACATATCTTTTTATTTGCTTTGATGAAATTTTATAATTAGCCTTCCTAATACTGTTTATTTAAGAAATTCTTTTAGGAAAAACTCTACCTAAACAACGTGAAAGAAAATGCTATTTGTTTTTTATTAAAACAAAAATTGAAAATTCAGTGAGAGAAAACAGGTTGAAACCAATCTCTGTTCTTTAGACATACTTTTAAATTGTTGCCACAATACGCAACAGAAAGCAATAAGTAATGGCACACACTTCTGAAGCAAGAGGAAGGCATAAATAACTCCAGAAACAAAGCACACTCTTTTTTAGTCAAGGTAGAAGCAACGCTGTTGATAAATTACAGTACTTCAATTGCATAACCGAGAAAAACGATTAACAATTATACTAAATGTGTTAAGATTATCCTTTCTAAATAATTTATAAGTGTCTGTCTTCAGTCACTCAGGCTCAACATGACCTTTCTAACTTAAATTTCCCAGGACTGTTGAAAGATCCACGCGCTTTATTTGAATGGCTATTACAGTGCACAGCAACAATGTTCTGTATTATTGAAGCTTTCCAACAGTAGTTCAAATCCCTACCACACGGTGTGAAACGGAACTAAGGCAGAAGGTACTTGGTGTCTCTGCATCAGAAGAAAAATTATTAAAAAAAAAAAAAAAATATATAATTTGGTATTCTAGGTATCATAGAAATGACCTAAGCTGGAAAATTTGTATCTGAATACATATCACCCAAAATTTCAAAAGGAATCAAATCTGATTACTTTGCCTCTCTATGTATCTTTAATATTCACTTGAAATGTGCACTCTTTTTTAACATTACCTTCTTTTAAACAATCATGACAGAAATTAGATGAAGCACACAAACTCAACAGGAAAGTTTTGAAAGAGAATGAGAAYGCAAGAATAACTCGATTTCCTAAGTTTCAAGAGGAATGATCTGTAAAATAATTAAAATCTAGCTATGATAATTAGAAAGAGTGAGTTAGAATGAAGATTTTTAAATGGATTAGTAACTGACATCATAACATCCACTTAAAAGACTCCATAAAAAGTCTCCTGTATAAGGCCATTCATTAATATATAATAAAGCTATATATTTAGAGTCAAGTGGTTAAAATCACAATAATGATTTGAAATTAACATATTCACCTTTTTTTWAACTTACTATATTTCAATAATATATCCCTATATAGATGCTCACAACATACACAGTAAATACTGCATGTGGCAGTATGAAAAGCAGCATAATGAATACTGTCAAAAATCAAAAGAAAAATCAAATCCTCAAAAGCTTAAGACTTCACAAAGCATAGCTGTTAGTTACGCTCACTGAATAGTGATAACAACAACAAAAACAACAATAATTATGATGATGATGATAATACAAAGGCAGATTCTCAGATGCAATGCACTATTGCCAGGTCGATTTTCAATTACATTTCACTGATGTATTCATTTGTTTCTTAATGTGCTCATCTTGCCCATTAAGAATAATTAGCAGGCTTGCTTGGTGATTTCCTGGCTTCTGACAGTGATTTTTTTCCTTTTTGTTGACAACCACTTTTACTTTTTGGAAAGTAATTTTTGGATATTATAGTATGACTGGCATGTAATTTAAGCTTCCTAAGAAATTTAAAGGGAGGATGTAAACAGTAATTTTTAAACAAGATTATTTTAATCTATAATACCTACATAAAAAAGCATAATACTAGGCATTAACTATTTCTGAAGAGCTGAATTTAGACAAGAAAACAGTATTTTATCTCACATTAATTTAATTTGGTATGCTAAACAATTAAAAATACCATCAGCAATAATATAAGTTAGGAGGAATATATCACTTGTAGTCTGTGCACTTGAGGCGAGACACTATCTCCAACTAAACTAAAAATATCTTCCTGATTTCTGAGAGCCTGGTGTGGCTGAAACAGATCTAAATGCAGTTTAAACTTCTAAACAGCTAGTGACTATAGCAAAGAATGCAAAATAAAATTACTGTATGACAGATCATAAAATTACTTGTGAAGTCCATAAAACATAAAATGCAATATACATTTTATTACATGCTCCTTTAGGAATACATTCCACCTACACTGTAAAGTTCTTAGTCTGCTGCACTTTGGCACCCTGCTAATATTAAGCCCATTGTAAAATCCAGCACAATAAAAGCACTTTGTATGCTGAGCCTTCAGAGCACCAAATGTTAAAAAAAGAAAAATAAATTCTTGTTAGAGCCTTCCACCAATCACTTCTCTAAAAGGGATTCACTGAGTGAATACAGATGAAGACTGCTTGTAAGACTTTCAGAAATAAAAGAGATTTCTAAAAGATACTGTGAAAACTAAGGTGTATTAATTAGATTATTAGGAGTATCTTTTTCAGGAATAATAACGCTTTAAATTGTTTCGTTCCAAAGGTTGAGCAAAGATTGATTTTTAACACACACCGACTCTCCTATCTGTAGAAGATAGATAAATTTGATAAAAGTTCAGATATGTTTATAGAATCTGCTATGCAAACCATTTGCTGACCCAATGATTACTAAGYTCACCTGAAGCTTTCTGTGGGTAAAATGACCTTCTGCTAAAGAAGGTTGATTTTGTCAAACATCAGTCTGTTTTGTTGCACTAGTTCTGAAACACTTTTCTTCCCTCACATTTTTTTATCTTCCTAAAGGCAGGTAAGAAAAGTTGGGAGAGGAAACGCTGTACAAAACTGCATAGAATAATGAATATCTCCTCCTCCTCCTCAGCCCAGGAACAGAATCAGTCAGAATTTAGCAAAATAAAAATCCTTGGAGCACAATTAAGAACCTGCATTTTCAAGAAAAAGGAGACTTTTATTTCAGGTTTTAAATGATTTGATTTGTGATTGGCTCTTTTTCTCCATTAAATTGTTAAAGTGTTGTAAGCAATTATRGTTGGCCGAGTTACCCCTGAGAATGTGTTTTTAAAGCTAATAACTAATACGCACTGACGTGTTTCCTGTTTTAACTTACAAGACAGGCATTTTTTTTTTCAATCTGCAACATAGTTTAACTTATTTTTTCATTAAGTACTCATTACGCTAGCTTTCAAATACACACAAATCTCAAATCTAAATAATTTTGACGATGCTGTGGCCAAAACCTGACCGCTAGTCTGCCTTAAAATGCAAATGGAAAGATTACCAAGGAACAAAAGCAAATAGATATCTTCCATTTTTTTCCTCTCAATTTCTAAGGGCTATTAGCATTCACTGTATATATCTGTTCTTATTCTGTGCTGATATTTAATGTGGCCACAAATTATGCTCACTCATTCTCTCGCTTAGCCAAAGTACAGTTCAATTTTCTGAACTATGTGTTCGTATTAGTAAAGCATAATAGCAATTTATTCTAATATAATCATATAAGAAATATAATAAAATACTGCCTATAAGGGACAGAGTAGTTTTACAATGTTACRTCAAGAGAAATAATGGTAAAATGATAATTGATTAAGCAGGCTAAATGGATAATTTGCAGGCATTTACAACTTAGTAGCTGTAATGAAACTGTGCATTTTAAAATACACTAGAAAAGCTATGAAGATATACAAATATTATGTATATTTTAAGATGCTATATCTGCATGCAAAAAAAAAAATCCAGTTTCTTCTGCAAAAAAAATAATATATGTCAAAGGAAAGCTAATGGTTTGATTCCCTGCTCTCCCCTCTGTAACATGCAGCACATACACAAGGCATCTTTCAGCACTGAACCATAAGGCAAATATTTACTGCTGTACTTGCTCCATACCAACAAGTACATATTTAATTTAGGAAGAAAATGTGAAATTTATTAGATGGGAAATTGCAGCTTTGTTTAAGATATTCACCATCTATTTTTTAATTACTTATGGGGGGACTTTTTCTTAATATACCCCATGCTGCCTGTCTTTATATCGATTGTTACTCAGCCAGTAAAAAGGAATGAGCACAACAAACCAGTTTTCTATCTGAATAAGGATACTTTTGATGGCCTTTTCATTTCCATCAGTTAACAGAACTTCTTTGACATCTGCAGAAATAGCAACCTGAAAAAAAGAGCACAGCAAACAATGAGCAAATATGCTTGTCTGTGTGGAAGTGAAGACAGGAGTGACAAGCCTTCAGTATCATGCTTCCTCACCTATTTCTCTGTAACAATCTTCAATCTTTTTTCATTTTATGTCTGCATTATTTTAATCATTCAATCAAATCAGTCAATACTTTTATCATTCCATTTGCGGGAGCCTCTATCTTGCTATCATTCTGTTCCGTAATTGCATTGTGACAGCGGATGATGGTATTCTGAGAGGCTTTCATTTGCGGGCTTCTGTTTATCTAGTAGAGCCATCATACAAGGCTGTCACTCTGCCTTTCAGCTTGCTTCTGTCTGACTGCCTGATGCCCTTCATATAACTTTGCATTGCAGGCAGATGGCTTTGTAAGGGTAATTTTTTTGTGAGCTTTGACATGCTCGCACATTGGGCTGTAACCTCGACACATTGTATAAGAGCGACAGGTTTGTCAAATGCCAATCAGTGTAACAATATGCTTTTATTTGTAGAGACATAAAAACTTGTCTAATGCACTGCACTGCTACATAATATCTCCTGAATACATGACTCAGAACCCAGAGAATGGTGAACGACTCTCCTGAATGGCCAATCTAATTCAAAAGAATCTAATTACCGAGAGCTCTGGATCATGTTTGTTGGTGTAATAATGCAGGCAAAACATTAGCAGCTATATCATGGTGCTCCAACTGTGATTCGCCAGGCTATTCCTGTATCTTAGCAAATGGGACTATAATCTGAAAAAAAAAAAAACGCTTCAGCCATGGCAATGAAAGACAGACCGTACGTGGCCTGGAATGTCACAACAAGAGATATTGACTACACTGAGGTAAAATGTTTCTGCTCATCGAGGCAACCATAAAATCAATATGATACGAAAGCAAGTCAATCTAGAAGGTCTCTCAAGACTCTGCAGCTTGACCGCAGCTGAGGCTGTTGACAGTTCTCTGACCCAGCAGTTGGAGGCACTGGAACATTTTTCCTTTTGTTTCTTCCTCTGAATGGGATTGGAATTGAGAAAAGACCTACCATGAGCCCAGCCAAGCATGTCATGCCACCCCCTAGCTCACACACAGCAAGGTCCCTGAAAGAGAGAAAGGAAATGGTAGAACCCATACAAATTAGATGAAAATGGTCAGAGAGACATATATGTTACAAGAACAAATTGCCATCTGCAGTGAGAACTGAGCTACCAGGAAGTTGTAGAGACATGACTAGGCTACCTCATGTCGTTTTGCGTTTTAAAAATAATTATGAAATAGAAAAGTCACAAAGCAGGCAAATCAGTGGGGGTTCCCTCATTAGTGTTCAGTGCAACATTACCACCGCTGAGCTGAAAAATCTGAGAAGGTTCCCTTTTTTCCCTTGTCAATGGCTCTGTCTTTTAGAACTAAACTAGCTAGAGTAGCGAAAGATAATTGTTAGGAAAGGATAACAATGTTAATCCACATTCATTCTTTCAAAAACAGTTAGGGAAGTAAATGGAGAAAATAATATTATTTATATATCTCTCTATATAGTTATGCCTAAAAGCCTTTTTATATTAAAAAAAAAGACAAGTTTTAAAACAAGCCGCACAGCTCAAAACAATTACACATGAAGAAATTTGATCCTTCAATTAGCACTTAAAACCATGAGTGACCTACAAATAATTCTGTTATGAACGACGATGGGAACAGCGCACAGCTAAGCCACAGAGAACCACGACAAGTTGGTGTCAGGAGTCCGAACTGAGCCCCAGCTTAGGCTCGAATAGGTGGTTTAACAGGTTACTTTTAACGTTTTCGTGCTGCACCGTCGTTAAGATGTGCATGTGAAGTGCTGCAGGACGGAGCTGGCCGGGCGCGGAGGAAGCCTCGTCTCCAGAGCCGTGGCTGGCCCGGAGGGAGGAGGGCAGCACGGGGCAGCACTCAGCGCACGGCGCTAGAGGAACAACCCGAACAGGCTGCTTTATAGCTCAGCCTAGGACAACCGGTAGGGCTGGYGGAGACATTCCTATTTTAACAGCAAGGCGAATTCCAGCTGAACGGGTTTTTGGGTGCACCAACAGACACCATCATCTCAGAACCCATTTTTATGTCGAAATAGTATTTCCCTACAAGCTYTGTGCTTATATTTAGGAATAAGGATGCCATATCCATATCAGAATACAGATGCTGAGAGCATGTTTACTGCAGCCCATGGACTGGCTGCCTGACCGCATATAAATGCTCAGGCTTTGAATGGGGTAGATTTATTTTTCTTAGACTTGGCAAATTTCATTTGCAAAAAGTCTTTTTGTTCTTTTCAGCAGAAGGGAAAATAAAGATAAGCAGAGTTTGGGGGAGCAAACCCAGCCTAAAACCCAGCAAGAARTGAAAACAAAATGGGGAGAATTTGCAGTTTGTGGTTTAAATACAATGCTTATAGCTTTTTCTCACATAGGTTCTGAGTTTTATAAATAACATGTGCGCTTTTTTATAAATATATTTTTATTATTTTGTGTATAAATATGTATATACACACACACACAAGATTATAAATGTAACATTTATAATGCATTTAACCCTTTACAGGAGTCATGTTTATTGAAACAAACACAATGAAATATCCAAGGAGGGAGTTTTAARGCATTTTGAACCAAACTTGTGTATACATAATACGTAGGCATACCCACATACATATGCATGCAAGGACGAGGTGCAAGTACAAGTCACYAGTTGTGGCTGTAGAGACACTACTATAGCAACAAGGTGGAACTGCACAGTAGCCACCTAAACTCAGCAAAGGAGCAGCAACTGCGAGAAGAGCTGTGTTAGCTGCCTCCTCTTTTGGGCGGGGCTTTAGCCTCAGTTAAACTGAGGCTTTGTATAATAGGCTCACAATGTTTGTTAAGAGTCAGGATCTACAGACTGAAGCAGCTTGTTCTTCTGTATTTTCCTAACACAATATGTAGATAAGAAGGAGGGATTTTGTGTTCTCCAAGCTGGTTTACTGGGCGTTAGCCTTGTATCCTTGCTCCGAATGTAATTTATGCCTGCAAATGCACTGTTGTTATGGTTCTGCCTAAGACCCTTTCATGCTCCAGGACAATGAAACTTCAAGGATTTCTAAGTGCAGGCCTCTGTATACTCAAGGGAGGAGAAAGGATCCAGGCTGGGTTTTATTTTTAAGTATTCTTATTGGATGCTGGAAACCTATATTCTACAATTTTAGAGAAAGTAGGGGGGAAAAAAAMCCCCACAAAACTRTGGAAAAGAACAGATGCCTCAGAAATACTTCCCAAAGATAAAATACAGGTGCAAATTCCTCCATCAATGGATACAATAATTATGTACTTTATCAGGTAATATTTTGCTTGCTTTTGCAGCGGATGTCGGTTTAAAGAACATCTTTTATTTTTCCTGACCTTCACAATCAGTACTGATCGATTGGACCTTCACTTCTGTTTCCCAAAAAATCAAAGTGAAATAAAACGCCTTGAGTGGAAATCAAAAGTCTTTGACATATAGCAGAAAGCTTGCTGTGCAATATTAGTACCCAAAGGCAGCTCAGAATTCTTTGTTAAGAACAACATGCTTTCACCTTGAACATTTTAAATTTAATCTGAAGCCTTAAATCATAGCAATCTTTACCATGCAGATACAATAAAAYTAACAAATTAGAAAATATCTTTTTATGTTTAACTCTGTACCTGAACATTTCGTTGTGCTTTAGGCAGTAGTAAGCCAGCACTTCTTCAGACGGCCAGAGACCTGTAAAACAAAAATACATGCCTTCTTAGAACACTGCCTTTCTGAGATAATATTTAAATATGTATTACTATTTTCAGACCTCTACCAAATGTTTCATTTTGAAATTTGCCACCCTATCACAGAATAGAGAAATGAATCAGATTTTTAATGATAGATTTCTTATCCTCAGCATTGGAACTAGATATTTCTCAAACTTCACTCAGACTAATGGCCATGCCTATGTGTATATTGTATATAAATATATATACAGACACATAAATATACATATACATACCCAGCACATTGTCAAGATTTTAAAAGTCGCATACAATCTAATTCAGACTTCCAACATATGGGCATTGACATGAACATYAGACTGTCAAGGTCCTCTTGTCCAGTATCCTGTCTCTCACTGGGGACAAGACCCCCTTACCTTCGCCATTTGCTGTCTTCAAATCATTTGTTAGCTTATTTCTTCACAGATCCTTTTTATTTAGCCTGTTTTCTCAGGGACAACTCTCAGGTTTTGTTAGGACCTTACCCTAAGAAACACTGATCCTTAGCACTAGATCCTATGCTAAAGAAGACTGTATGGTTAGGTTTATAAGATAGTATGATTTCTAGTGGTTCCTCAGGAACTAGGAGCCACTAGTGATAAATTTGTGTTTAATWAATGCCAAAGGAATTTTCTAATTGTACTTAGGCAAACTTGCAGTATCTATACTGCCCTGTGGCAGTATGCTCCAGAGTTTGTGTGTGTTGTATCAAGATCATCTGATGCCCTCTAGTTTTCATATGAGAACAGACAGGAAGCAACCACTCTTTATTTGCCTATTCCATACTACTCATGGCTTTATAAACTGCTGTCATAAATCTTTTATTGATCTTTGTCTTACTTAAGAGTCATTGATTCAAATTTATCCTTTCAATAATATTATCTTATGAAACTCAGTGTCACTTTAGAGCAACTTATCACAACTTTAAGGACCTATCTGAAGCCACATGGCCAATGGAGATGGCAGTTTAGAACTAAAGTGGCTTGTAGAGTCTCCTGCAGACATCTTTCTTTCTCCATTGCTTAAAGAAAGCTTGGAAAAACAAATTGATATTCAGGAACTTGTGTTAAACTTTCAAAGTTATTGGAGGATGAATCAAAGGCATTTGCGGTCTAATTACATTTGTATAAGTTTTTCTTCCGTTGTTGCTTAGCAATGAAACAAACAAACAAACCAACCAACAAACCTTGTTTATCCACAGGTGAAAACCGGGGGTTAGCTTCCCGCTCAACACATAGCACTATGAATTACCGTGACAGAAACCTGATTTAATATTATCAACTGTGGATACTTTCATGGTTCGAGTAAACTTAAGATCTACAAGAACATCCTTCAGGTGTTTATGAACATGGAAATAGAATTCCATGAAGCTTATTGCCTATATGCATCCTTTAGGCCATCGACAACATGAAGAAACAATTGTTTCTGCTCTATAAAGGGAGGGAGGGAAGAATTCAATAAATGTTTGAGAGAAAAAAAGGCTTTTTTTTTTTTAAAAAATCACTTACAGTCTGATTGTAATCCTCAAATACAAAATTCTTTCTGTCCATCCACTTCCTACTCTGACTTACCCAGTCATTATTACAGTTGATGAAAATTTATGAATGCAGAATCTGCATGCAGATCAAGCATTTGGCCAAAATTTTGCATATAGCTTGTCTATGACATAGATCTCAAAGGTATAAAAATTAGAGCTCTGATTCCTAAACACAAAAAAAAAAAAACCACTAAAACAATACTATTATTTGTCCAGTTAATAAAAATTTAGGTTGATAAGGTTTTTGTAGATCTGGTATTTTACACAGACTTGCTAAGGGTTAAAATAAAATATTCACACACGATTACCCATTCTTCAGTGAAACATACACCAAGAATTGTACAGGATTTTCCATCTCCCTTTTGAGCATTTCAATGCTTTTGAGCATTGAAATATGCTAGAATGACAGTCTTGGCAATAAATATAATAACTGTTTAAATATTTTAGTGTATGATATAAAGAATGTTTCAGTTTGCAGTGACTGGTGTATACTCAAGTAATAAAAGTGTTTTCTAATATTTAGTGAAGGCATGGCCAATTTAATACCACTTACAATACTGCACATCTCGTATTACCACCACCATCCCCAAAATAACTATATCCTTTCATAGCAAACTTTTAGCCTGAGTGAATTTTTAAAATACTTGTCAATTATAGCAAAATYCTTCAACGTCTGAGTTTTCAGTACCCTCAGTCAAGTGTCGTTCACTTCTCTACGGATATTACTGAAAGGGCACTTTGAATGGAGTCACTGAATCTTTTATGAGGGGTCACTGTTCTTTCCCCTGCTTCCATTACAATGTTGATGCCAGCTGAAACTTCAGGTGTATGAGATAGCTCTTTGCYGAGAGAAAGGTAAAGCGCCTTTGGAAGGACAAAGTCTTTCTTGAAGCAGATGCTAGTGATGGACATGCCTCTCCTCCCCCCTCTCTTTGCCCATAGGAAGAAAGCATCACCTCAGCAATGATATAAGCAGCTGGCAGCTAAAGAAGCAGGAGTCAGAAGGTCTCCTGTGAACACAGGTCTGAAGTGTGGAAGCACACGGTGCTTCTAGCTAAGCCAAGAAGCCAGAGGCAAGAATACCTGTGTTAATTTTAGTAAAAGGAAAAGCCTCTCTTGCTTGAACAGGTAGGTAAGCCTCTTTGCTTTCAAAACAGGGATAAGCTTAAAGATCCACGTGGAGGAGTTTGCGTTCTGCCTCCTTCCCCTTCATTCTGACCTACATTTAGCAACACAATGACCTACATTTTCAAGTTACAAGATAGTTCTGATTCTGTTAGAAAATAATCAGCTGCAATACAGAAATGCAGCAATTCCTCTAAGTTAAAAAAACCAGCTCTAAGTTTTGAAAAGCTTCATTCATTTCCTGCAATCACATGCATAAAGGGAGTGTTTCCTGTGAAAACACTTAAAACAATTATTTCATATTTAAAACAATATTATTCTCATTTCGATTTATGATTTTTTTTTTAACAACTACATAACATTGCTTGGGTACCTATTTGCATGTACAATTACTTCCACAGAATGGTCAATTATTCACACATGTGTAGGCAAAAGGATATCGAAAGGCTACCAAATGGCAATCATACTTAAAAGGTGATAAATATATTAGAAGTGTCTTCTAGTCCTAGACGAAAGGGTTAAAAGTACGGTTGTGAATGGCTGTGAAAGGAAACAGTAAACTGGAATTCCATTCTGTAAAAATAATCAATTTGAGGCTTTTAATGAAGGTTTTAGAAATCTTTATCACCTTGATAACTAGGAAATGCAAACTGAAGATTGCCAGACAATATTGGAGTGTTTATTAAAACAAATTAAAAATTGAGTTGTGCTGGGGTTTTAAAGCATGCCTCCAGAAAGGCTGTAATTTGGAAGTGGAAGAAGTGGGAGAAACGCAATGCACACAGACCAACACCTTCCAGAATTCCAGCAGTCTGCACATACCCTTTCAGCGTTAGGATGGAACAGGAGATCCACAGTTCCAAGAAAGGTATCACTCWCTAATCCAATTGCAAATGTGCCATAAAACCAGTGGTATCCACCTCTCCACAGCTTCATAATACGTATTACAGCAGTAGCAGTAGAAAAACATTACAACTAAAAAGCACAGAGCTGGATGGAGAAATGCCATACCTACAGACACACACAAAATACGTATGGTATTTTTAAAGCACTTGCCACCATATTGCAATATCTCACCACACTAACAGAGCCAACTGATCAAGGACTCAAAGACATCGTGAAGTACTACTGTCCAGATGTTACACATGAGGAATTGGAACCAGATTAAGCTACTTCAACTCACAGAACAAAATTATGGAGAAAATAAAATCTTTGGTATTCTAACTCCCAGAGATACGATTTAACCCAAGAAACAAAGTAAAAACTTTCCTTATAGAGGTGAGATCACAATAACAATAAGAATAAATAAATTGCTTTTATTACTCCCACAGTGCTCTCCCAAGGAAAATGTCAGGACTTCTGCTTCAAACATGGCACAGCAGCTCTTTAAAGCAACTTTAAATGCYTTTGGACTAAGTCATGTACCGGCAGCTGTCTGACGATGCTTTCTTTTAACCATGATATGCAGCATCACTATTCCAAAGTATCACAAAACCTGTGTTATTTCCACTCCATTAGAGTCTACTACTACCTTAAAATAGTTGAATCCTATATGAGATTTGAAAAGCCAAACATTTTCCCCAGTTGAATATATTCATAAAGGTCTTCTTTGCCATTATATCCTGCTTGTGGCCTACATGAAGTCAATTTATTTGCTTTAATCCCAAGTGAATGTAACATATTACAAGTGCTATAGACAAAGAGATYGGTAATCTTTCAAAAGAAGCACCAMCAATTTAACTGAGTCAGGGAGAACCATTTTCTGAATCTAAGTATCTATTAATCTTTAAAAGCAAGACACATTGCTGGTGGAGAGGAGAAAAGCTTTAGGCACTGCCCTGAACTGTGCAGAAGTGTTTGAGTAAGTTTGTGCAGAACGCTATTCCCCCATCTCCTCTGCTGAAAGACAGAGGCATCCCGAAACCTAAGAGCTAGTAACAAGAACAAGCTCTTCTAGAGGTTCAAAGCCAGGTCCTTCCATTCTTAGTGTAGCATAGCTGCAATCCCAATATTAGCATATGAAATTTTATTTTCTACAGACAGTGTCTTATATTAAGGTCACATTGGAAGGTAAGTTTGGTGTTTTCGTTCTGGTTAGTTTTTGTGTGCACCACCACCACCAAGCACAGCATAGAGCTGTCTATCAGAGGTCTTAAAGTGAAAAAGCAGGTCAGAATCAGGTTTAGGAGCAGATCAATTTGGAGAAAAATTTGAAATGAGCCTCTATCTAACCAATACTTGGAGACTTTCTGTTTACAGAGCACTAAAGTTCATTTCTGAGTGACAGAAATATGAAATCATGAATAGACTAAATAGCACTAAGTACTAAGTGGATGTATAGCATATTCACAAYTTGCACCAGACATGCAAGGCATGATTGTTCTAAACTGGGGAATTTACTTGAGTAAAAACTACTTGTGAATTTTTATACTGCTCTAGCTAAGTAGTTTGCATGGAGATAGCTCTCAAAAACACTTCTGGCTGTGAATCTTCTAAAAACTTCATACTTTGAGCCTGTCTTCAATTTTATTTTACGACCAAGCTAAGTACAGGCAGGAAGAAAAAAATTCTTTTCTTCTACTTGTTCATGTTGCATGTAAAAATGCAACATAGTTGAAAGTAATCATTAATCCAGGTTGCTTAAGATAGTATCTAAAGTAGAGTGAGTTGGAAAATACAAATGTACATAACAAAGTACTTCAATTATTCAGTTTTTTTAGCTGTCATAAAATGCATATATAGAAGAATGACTATCTTCCATAGAAAACCACTTTCATAATACACAAAAGACAAGAATCTAGTCATTTTAGTGAAATGAAGATATGAGATTTTTAGGTAAGTAAGAACAAAAAAATCCAAACTTACATCCTCAGATTTAAGCCTCCCCCCACACACAATAAAGATACAAGCAGAGCATGGAGATACAAGAGAGCAGATCTTAGCGAAAGCAGATCAAAGATGACAAAATTTAAGTTGGGAGATTTGCAAAAGGAGAGCAGTACTGTAACCTTCCGGACACGTGGCCACTTCTTACCGYGATGTAAGTGCTAACCTTCCCTGAAAGCCCATTTCTCTAATCTGAGCCTCTCCATTCTGAAATCTGCCCTGAGTCAATTTGTGAGTGAGCAACCTTGATAAATTTATACAGTGTTAAACCCCATATTTAATAGCCTTTAGAGTAGGACCACACATACGAGCCTTGCTATACCTGACTTTGCACACTGCAGACCACTCTTGGAGCCCAGTGGAGTAATTTGCATCAGGAAGAAAGGCTGGCTTGCTTTTCTGCAGCAGGAATGCTATAACTCAGTTTGAAAAGCTAGAAGAACACTAAAGGAAACAGGAGATACAAAGAGAAATACATCTCATCATTTTTCCCTACGCACATATATTTTATAGAAGCTCTTGTCTCTCTTTCAATCTAAAACAGAATTTATGATATTCAGATCATTGAAAAATATGTATAAGCACCGGCTGAGATCTTCCGCTTGGGCAAAATGGCCTCAGCACCATATCTCTCACTTTCATTCTCATTATTATTCATGACTAGGAGGGAAATAGGATGGTCTGCAATCTGCAAATTTCTTTTAGAGTGCAAACTTAAGAGGTTCGGTGGAACTGATGTGGAAACACAG